CAGGTCCTGATTCAGCCGCTGCTGGTCAGTTTCAGGAGCGGCGCTACTGGAGCAACCCAGCAGCACCCCAGCTGCTCTGCCCCAGGCGTCCCCAAGTCAGCTTCTGCTGAAACTGACCAGCGCTGACTACAGGAAGCCCCAGGCAGAGTTGCTCTGCCCCGGGCTTCCTGGAATCAGCTGCTGATCAGTTTCAGCAGCAGCTGACTTGGGGACGCCTGGGGTTCTTAAGTTGATTCTGTATGTAAGTCAGAACTGGCGGTCAGTTTCAGCAGTGTCTGAATCTGGACGCCAGTTCCGACTTACATACAGATTCAACTTAAGAACAAACCTACAGTCCCTATCTTGTACGTAACCCGGGGACTGCCTGTACTAAAGATTGGTTCTGCATGATAATGATATGAAGCAGTGCAGATTCTGTTCATTTTCATCATCTGAATCGGATGCCACTTATAGAAGGTTGACTTTCTTTTTTGGTGGTTCAGGTTCTGTAGTTTCTGCATCCATGTTGCTCTGAGACTTCTGAAAATATGCTTCACACTTTGCCCCTCTTAGATTTTGAGTGGCACTTCAGATACTTAAACTTTGCTCAAGATGCTATAACTATCTTTAGAAATTCCACATTGGTACCTTTTTTCCCTTTTGTCAAATCTGCTGTGAAAGCTTTCTTAAAATGAACATGTTCTGGGACATCTTCCAAGACAGCTAGAACATGAACTATATGGCAGAATGTAAGTAAAACAGCAGGAGACATACACTTGTGACTGAACTCCTTGAGGGAAAATTGTAACTAATGCATTACAGTAATTCCTCATTTAACACTATAGATGTGTTTCAGAAAATGATCGTGTTAAGTGAAAACATGTTATGCAGGGTCAATTTTCCCATTAAAAATAATGGAAAAGGTTGGGGTTGCGTTTCAAGTGGTGGTGTCTGTTGGGACCGGGACATAAGGTTGGGGGAGAAAGGGGACTGGGTTACAGCAGGGAGGGGAGGTGTTTGGCTCTGGAGAAGGGGAGGAGAGGGGAAAGGGATTGGGTTGGGAGTATGCCCCTGTGACAGGTCTGCTGGGATCTGCACTGCGTCTGGTGAGGGGGGGTAGCTGGGGAATGGTGCGGCGAACCCTCCACCGCTTTGCGGGGAGGCAGGGGAAGCCCTGCGCAGCCGCCGGCAACGGCCCGGCTGCGGGATGCGGGGGAAGCCCCGTGCAGCCTGCCGGCAACGGACCAGCTGGGGAAATTGTGTTATTCTGGGGACAGTCCTGTAATTCAAAAAATGTTCTCTAAAAAAAGATTGTGCTGTCGCGAAAACTTGTTAAGTAGGCACGTGTTAAATGCGGAATTACTGTATTTTTTTTTAAAAGAGCATCAGCATGGAAGCGCATCCTCTGAAATCGTGGCCAAAGTATGAAGAGGTATATGAAAGTTTAGCATATTAGGTAGTAAATGCCATTCAATGCCATCTACAAAAGTGCCATGTGAACACCAGTTCTCGTTTTTTTTGGTGATACTGCCACCTACTTATTTACAGTATCACCTGTCAATGTAAACAAACTTGTTTGTCTTGTCGATTGGCAGAACAAGAAACAGGGCTGAGTAGACTTGTAGGCTGTAAAGTTTTACGTTGTTTTGTTTTTGAGCACAATTATGTAAGAAGAAAAATATCTGACTTTAGGTCACACTGTCATTTTAAAGAAATTGCACGTCAGTACTTGGATGAGTTGAATATAAGCAAACAATACAGGTATGCAGGGGCAAGATTAGAAAGGCAAAGCCACAAAGCAAGCTCAAACTAGCTACTGACATAAAGGAAACAGGAAGATATTCTATAAATATATTAGAAGCAAGAGGAAGACCAGGAACAGGGGTAGGCCCATTGCTCAATGAGGAGGCAGAAACAGTAACAGGAAACTTGGAAATGGCAGAGGTGCTTAATGACTTCTTTGTTTCTGTCTTCACCAAGAAGTCTGATGATGAAGGAATGCCTAACATGGTGAATGCTAGAGGGCATGGGGTAGGTTTAGAAGATAACATTAAAAACAAAAACAAATTAAGAATTGCAAATATCTAACTCTTCTCAGTAAGTCACCAGGGCCTGATGAAATGCATCCTAGAATATTCAAGGAGCTGATAGAGGAGGTATCTGAGCCTTTAGCTATCATCTTTGGAAAAAATCATGGAAGATGGGAGAAATTCCAGAAGACTGGAAAAGGGCAAATGTAGTGCCCATCTAGAACAAGGGAAATAAGAACAACCCAGGTAACTACAGTTTAGCTGCTGTGCCAGGAAAGATAATGGAACAAGTAATTAAGGAATTATCTGCAAACACCTGGAAGATAATAAAGTGATAGGTAACAGCCAGCATGGTTTTGTAAAGAACAAATCACGTCAAACCAATCTGATAGCTCTCTCTGATAGGATAACAAATCTTGTGGATAAAGGGGAAGTGGTGGATGTGGTATACCTAGACTTTAGTAAGGCATTTGAAGATCACAAGATGGTATCTTATCAATAATCTAGGGAAGTATAACCTGGATGGGACTATTGTAAGGTGGGTGTATAACTGGCTGGATAACCAGTCACAGAGAGTAGTTATTAACGGTTCCCAATCACTCTGGAAGGGCATAACAAGTGGGGTTTTGCAGAGGTCTGGATTAAGACTGGTTCTGTTCAGTATCTTCATCAGCGATTTAGATATTGGCATAGAGAGTACGTTTATTAAGTTTTCAGATGATACCAAGCTGGGAGGGGTTGCTTTGGAGGATAGGGTCATAATTCAAAATGATCTGAATAAACTGGAGAAATGATCTGAGGTAAATAGGATGAAGTTTAATAAGGACAAATGCAAAGTACTCTTAGGAAGGAACAATCAGTTTCACACACATGGAATGGGAAGCGACTGTCTAGGAAGGAGTACTGCAGAAAGGAATATAGGTGTCATAGTGGACTACAAGCTAAATATGAGCCAACAATGTGACGCTATTGCAAAAAAAGCAAACATGATTCTGGGATGCATTAACAGGAGTGTTGTGAGCAAGACGTGATTAAGCCTGTATTGGAGCATTGAGTCCAGTTCTGGGCACCACATTTCAAGAAAGATGTGGAGAAATTGGAGAAGGTCCAGAGGAGCAACAAGAATGATTAAAGGTCTAGAAAACATGAGCTATGAGGCAAGGCTAAAGGAATTGGGCTTGTTTAGTTTGGAAAAGAGAAGACTGAGGGAATATGATAGCAGTTTTCAGGTATCTAAAAAGTGTCCTGGGGAGGTGAGGGGAAAATTGTTCTCCTTGGCCTCTGAGGATAGGACAAGAAGCAATGGGCTTAAACTGCAGCAAGGGAGGTTAGGTTGGACATTAGGAAAAACTTCCTGTCGGTGGTTAAACACTGGAATAAGCTGCTTAGGGAGGTTATGAAACGTCTATCTCTGGAGATATTTAAGAGCAGGTTAGATAGACATCTATCAGGGATGGTCTAAACCAGCGGTTCCCAACCTTTTCCAGATGGGGACCTATTTTGACAATTCGGGAAGACTTGGTGACCCAAGAGGGAGGGCAGAGCCACCTGGGGAGAAACTTGGGTGACCCTTTTAAAATGTAATGGTGACTCATATTTGGGTCCTGACCCATAGGTTGGGAAACCCTTGTCTAGACGATACTGGGTCTTCCTGTGAGGGCAGGGGACTGGACTCGAGGTCCCTTCCAGTTATAGCGTTCTATAATTCTGTGAATCGAAATTGAAATACTATTTATTTACAGTGCATATATTTGTAATACAAAATAGAAAGTGAGCACTGTACACTTTGTATTCTGTGTTGTAATTTAAAGTCGTATTGAAAATATAGAAACATTACACAAATATGATTTTTTAGTTAAATGATTTATTGCACTGTTAGAGAATACTAACTGAAATTTATTTATCTCATGTTAACTAATCAACAGCCCTGCTGCTCAGTATTCAAGTCCTGCATAGACCACCATTATTTCCTCATGAACTTTTCTATAGCAGCCATCAGAATAGTATATAGTAGAGTGTTTCACGAGTATTTCTGTATTTATTTTCACAATACATCTGTGAGGTGGGATTTGGGGCATATTGACCCCATTTTAGAGATGGGGGGGCAGTTTCTGTGATTATGGTCAAAAGTAATCACTAAAGTCATTGTCCAGTTAGGTATGCCTAATACCCGATTGAGTTCTTAGAACTGTATTCTACTTTATATTGAAAGCACAGTTCCCATTGATGTGAGTGCTCAGCAGTTTTGCAGATCAGATGCCAAGATCTCAGTTTGGGCACTTAGGTTTAAGTGACTTGCCTACCATCATAGAAACTCGGGCAATGGCAGAGAGAAACCAGATTTCTAAGGTGGTATTAAACAGTTGTTACATGTAAAACTCTTCCCTCCCCAATTTAAGTCACATCCTTAATTAAGCCAATGCATCAGTTTCTTTTGGCAATATAAAGAGAGGCTAAGTCAAGGGGGGGGGGCACTTCATTAATTGGGTCACAGACTGGCTTCACTCCTGCTCCCTGGAAGGGGTGAGGTGTGAGGCCTTGGGCAGAAGGGGCGGGGCTGGAGGCTACAGAGAAGTGTGTGAAGAGACACTGTGGAAAAGGCATTTAAATGCAGATGGAGGCAAAGAGTAAGAGTGTGTTGCAGTGTGTATTTGACTGTTGTGGCACAGAGAATGTGTGTGAGACAGTGACATATTGTGTGCTGGCTGCATGGTAAGTTTGATACTAACTTGGCTGCAGAACAGAGCAAGATTGGGGGGACTACACCTGAACACACAGTGCCAACTGTTGGTATGCACACTCTGGTAATCAGCTGAATGAGCTGGAGAGAAATGCTGGCCTGGTCCATATTGTCCTGCAGTCCTGATTTTGCCCATTAGTGGGCTAAATATTTCTTTAGGAAAGTATTTAAAGGTAGGGTGAGGGACTGATTTGCACTTTTCTCTGTAGTATCCACTTTTTTAATGTTGAAATGTTCCTATTTCTCAACAGAAACAATAGAAAATTCACAGGCAGCTTATCAGGAGGCATTTGACATCAGCAAGAAAGAGATGCAACCAACACATCCAATTCGTTTGGGCCTAGCTCTTAACTTTTCTGTATTTTACTATGAGATCCTCAACAACCCTGAGCTTGCGTGCACGCTGGCCAAGACAGTAAGTTGCTGTCCTTTTCGTGGAAGGGGACTAATTATGATTAATGGGAGTTAATGTGCATAATGCACATTGATCAGTCTGTCGTGTATGGTGAAATCCTGTTTGATTTTAATGCATTTTATTTGTAAGTGCCTACTTTAAACAGACTTAAAGGAGCACCATTAATTTTAGTTTATAATCTTTGTTACTGAATTTTAAACATACAAGATTTGTGCTGTTTTAAGCTTTTTTCCCCAACTTGGCAGTGCAAATCAGTGCAATTATTTCACTTTCTAAAATGCTGCATGTTTGTTTGGTTAAGCTGTCTTCATGGAAAAAGGTTACAGTTAGTTCTGATTTGTCCCTTTAACATCCACCACTAGTTACATTAATAAGAGTTCATAATCAATACCTCAGTGTAAAGATTAATTTTTTTTAGGCTTTTGATGAGGCTATCGCAGAACTTGATACACTGAATGAAGACTCATATAAAGACAGTACTCTCATCATGCAGTTGCTTAGAGACAACCTAACAGTAAGTTGCCCTTTTGTGCTAATTGCTATATTTGTATAATGGCTACACTTAAACCTCATTTGTGTGACAAAACCAAAACATGGTCTTTATCTGAGCACTTTGATATTTAGGTGTAGAATGTACTGTATTGAAGAGTTACTCATAAGTAGGTTGATGTCTAGTTTAATGCAGTTTTTCACACTAAAACTTAAACTAGCTTCAAACTTAGTGGCTGTCTACACTGGCGTGATCTTGCGCCAAAGCGGCTGCTCTTGCGCAAAAACTTGCTGCCTGTCTACACTGGCCGTGTGTTCTTGCGCAAGTAAACTGACGTTCTACTGTATAAAATCAGGGCTCCTTGCGCAAGAACTATGATGCTCCTGCTCAGGAATAAGCCCTCTTGTGCAACTGTTCTTGCGCAAGAGGCCAATGTAGACAGGCAACATGAATTTCTTGCGCAAGAAAGCCCTATGGTTAAAATGGCCATCAGAGCTTTCTTGCGCAAGAGAGCATCTACACTGGAGAGCTCTTGCGGGAAAAAAATTACATACCAGTGTAGATGCTCTCTTCTGGAAGAGTTTTTGCCAAGAACTCTTCTGCAAAAGAGTTCTTGTGCAAGAAGCTGCCAGTGTAGATGTAGCCAGTTTGAACTAAAATAATAGTGTGAGTTAGTCAGTTTACATATGAAGCAAAATGTATTTAGCTATAAGACTAGCATGCTGGCTTGATTTAGCAGATAGAGCAATAAGTCTGGTGAGGGAAAATGATAATCTACAATCACTTAAGACAAGAATGAAAAAAATTAACTGTCTTAAAGATATTGATGGTTCCAGCAGTATTCCCTGTGCTTAGATGGGGAATACTGCTGGAACTTTCAATACTTCTAAAACTAGAATGAATTTTTAAGGTGCACCAACTATATATATATATACCATGTTAATTGTCTAAGGGACAGCTACGTACTCCAGCAATATTCCTCACTATTGTTGTCCTTAATAGGAATTATGACTTTGACTTTTCAGGTGAAAGTGAAACCAGAGAGATCTGGAGAACGTTGTTGTTGTTGTTGTTGTTGTTGTTGTTGTTGTTGTTGTTTTACTGGGAGGCAGGGGGAGAATACTAGCCACACAGATTTGTTAAGTGCCAATAGTATAATGGGGTAGCATATACAGATCTGTGTGTTTAGTATACGTTTAGCATGATGCCCGCTTTAGCTAGTTGAATCTTAAACAGTTACGTGAATGACTGTGCCCCATGGATGAGAAGATGCTCACAGTAAGCCAGTAGAAGTTCAACACAAATTAAATTAACAGATTTACACCTCCACACTGTAGCACTTACAAATGTAGTACTCCTTCATGCTAGTCTTTGACTTTAGGAGAAGGACATCAGTGCTAATATGGAGGGTAGAGGAGTAAGTTTTATGCTGATCTGGCTTTTTTCTTTTATTTCTAGTTATGGACATCAGACAGTGCAGGAGAAGAATGTGATGCTGCAGAAGGTGCAGAAAACTAAACTGCACATGGGGTGTCAGTCTCTCTTCCCTTCTCAAGAAACCTTTTTACACATCTCCATTCCTTATAGCTCCACTTGGATTTCCTATAGCAAAGAGAACCCATCCATGTATATGGAAATCAGTTTATAGTCTTTTCACACTGCAGCTTTGGGAAAACTCCATTCCTTGATTTGTGTTTGTCCTGGCCTTCCCTGTGTGCGGTTACTGCTGTAGAAAAGTATTAATAGCTTCATTTCATATAAACATAAGTAATTTCCAAACACTTATGTAGCGGACTAAAGTGTACCTGGTATTTAAAAGCAAAAATCTGAACCAGTTCCTGCAAGTTGACTGTGTTTTGTATTACAGTAAAGATATTAAAATGTAGTTAATTGCAACTAAAGAGTGTTCAACATAGCTTTCTAATTCACCACATTCCCTCTTATTCTGCAGGGTTTCCTCTCAATAACTGATTTTCACATGCGACTGTGTATTCTTTTCATGAGGGTTATGGAAGTGTTGGGCCAGATAGAAAATTTGGCATTTTTAGATTAAGAATTACAAATTGAGTTGCTTTCTATGTAATATACTGCAGGGGCTGCTGTATGTCTGCGTGAAAATGAGGGTCTCTTCTTACTCAGTCTTCAGTTGCTGCTGTTTATAAGTTGAATATCCCTTCCCAATAAAAGTCACTTACACTCCTGCCTTTGTAGTTCTGGTATTCACTTTATTATGTATTAAAAGCAGCATGAAACTGCTGGAACACAGACAGTGCTTTTTGGCCGACTAAAATGCATGTCAAATCTTAATACACTGGAATGGGAAACCCAATTCAAGTTCACGTGTTCAACTATAATATTTAGTACTTTTCCATGCAGATGTGTGCACATGTGAGAAGGTGTCAAGATTGTCCAGTGATTGTTATTTAGAAAGATGGACCACTATTGTGTGTTGCTAATCATTGATTGTAGTCCCAAAAAAGCCTTGTGAAAATGTTATGCCCAATGTAACAGCAAAGTAACATTAAATAAAATTACATTTTATAAACCACTTCCTGTTTTGTAACAATTCCATGCAATTACTTACGGGCTAAACTACAGCAAATCTTGCTAGGTAAAATGTCCTCCTCAAACCGTAACTCTCCTTTCAAAATCAATTGTTCAGGTGAATTCACTTTGTATTTCAACATTGAATTGCATCAAAATACCTGAAAGTTATTCATATGAATAGTTCACAAGCACAGATAATTCTCCCCAGTATAACCAGTGGCATGTCTTTCTTCCAGAATTTTATTTGAAGCTACATGTACTGAGTTTGTCTTGTACAACAATTTCTAAGCAGTTAGGTACCAAGTAGTACTACTTGCTACTAAAAATTGAAACCGCCTGATGTGTATTCCTTTGCTGCAAATCTGTTAACTCCTGATTGAGTGACATACCTATAGATGCTCTACTGTAAATGTGTGTGCTTGTATCCCTGCACTGCTGCTTAGAAAACTTCATCAGCAATAAAAAATAACAAAAGGTCTGGTAGCACTGTATAAACAAAACATATAGATGGTATCAGAGCTTTCATGGGCATACCCCACTTCTTCAGATGTCAGCTCTGCCCGTGAAAGCTCATGATGCCATCTACATGTTTTATTAGTCTATAAAGTGCTACCAGACCATTTGTTGTTTCCTGCACAGACTAACTAGGCTACCCCCTGAAGCTTCACTAGCAATGTTTGTCAGGCCTGCATATTTGCTGCTGCTCCTTGTTACATCACAAGGCTAGTCAGCACAAGCAAGCTAACCCCCTCTCCGTCCCCAGTTCTTTCTTGTCTATCCCTAGCAAGGGACAGAGATTTGTAGTCCATTAAGACCAGTGTTCCTTCTAAACTGGGCTGCAGCACAGCTTCACAGGTGATAATCAGTCCTGCCCAGTCAGTCAGCTCCTTGCACAAAACTCCAAACCTCTGATGAGGTAGGGCTGATCTATCACTTGTGAAGATATGCAGCTTAGAGGGAACACTGATTAAGACCACATCAATTTGATTTCTGTAGTTCTTAGTTACTAGTTGCAGTTCTAGGGGTTTCTTATTTTCTCTTTAAAAGTAAAACGAACTAGTGATTTCTTCTACTTCCGCCCCATGAGGACCCTGTCTCCCACAAGTTTGCAAGGCTTCAAGAAGTGCCTCATAAGAGGCCAATCACAACTGCAGACAAGCATTCCCAGTGTGTTAGTTACCTTGGGAAGGGCCACATCCTGCAAAAGTGTGATCCCTACCAAAAACTCCAGCCACTATCTTCTAACCTTCAGTAAAGCTTTCTGTTAACTCATGGCTGTGGCACTCTCAAGCCCTCAGAAGAGCCACACAACAAATCATCTGGAAAATAGTGTTTGCCAAAGTCGTCTACAAGTAGGAGTGGGGAACCTCAGGTCTGGGGGCTGCACATGGCCTCCAGCTTGCCTGGATCCCACCCCCAAAGCTCAGGGCTTCCCTCCCACAGTGGGGAGCCTGCACTGGTGCTTGAGTTCCCCTGCTGCCCCACTGTGGGCCTAGAGCACACATGTACACTAGCCTGAGCCCTTCTAGGCTCTGGTGTGCAAGGGGAGTGTCTTTCTCCATCAGGTGCCACATCAGTGAGGATTTGGGGTTTATTTTGGATTTTTGCTCATTTGTGTGTGGCCACAGATCCAAAAGAGATTCCCCATCCCAATCTAAAGATTGTGACTCAAACAAGCTGCAGTCTTCCCTCAATGTAGCCAAATCGGGCTAGGTCCATCTCCACAGCAGTGGTGATGACTAGTATCTTAGCTCCATCTCTCAAGCTTCTCACAGGAGGTGCAGTTTACAGTGGAATGTATTTTTTTTAACAGTCTCTCTTTCAGGACTTACCTGATGTGATGTGCTGAGGTTCCATTGAACCTGTTTGTTCTGACTGCCTGGGCACCCTATAATCCTCTTGCTGAGCACAGCTCTCAAGCCTGCTTCAGCACATGGACAGGGCCACACACTATAAGCAGCACAGTGTGTGGCCTTTTCCCAGCACTCAAATACACAGCCCTTCTAGGAGCTAGACCCTAGATAAATCCATCTTGGGCTGTATAGAGTCTTTCATGAGCTTATGCTGTACAGTCACCCTCTTTCTCAATGTAAAGAGATGTGTAGACTTCTTACTCCTCCTCCTCCATAAGTTACACTTGGTTTATTATAAACAAAAGCAGTTTTAAGTAAAAAAAAATAGGATTTAAGTGGTCATAAGTGCACATGACAAAGTAGGTTATTAAAATAAAACAGCATGCAAGCTAAGCATGATACACAAAAGAAACTACAGGTGGTACCTCCCTTAACTGGGACTCTGGTCTGGCAACATCCATGGTCTAGCACAGAACCCAGGAATAGGGAGATCTGACAGCAGGGCAGAAGTGTGGTAGGGGAGCCCAGTGTTGGCGGTCGGGGCCAGTGGCAGCTGGAGAGTTCTAGCCACAGCCAGGGCATTTTGGATATTAGGAAAAACTATTTTACTAGGAGGGTAGTGAAGCATTGGAATGGGTTACCTAGGGAAGTAGTGGAGTCTCCATCCCTAGAGGTGTTTAAGTCTCGGCTTGACAAAGCCCTGGCCGGGTTGATTTAGATGGGATTGGTCCTGCCTAGAGCGGAGGGCTGGACTTGACGACCTTCTGAGGTCTCTTCCAGTTCTGATTCTATGATAAGGGGATGGTTGGATGAAATAACATGATCTTGGTAACTAATTGACCATTCATTTCCAGTTGGAAATAGGTCAATGGAGGGATGATAGGAGTTGCTATAGGGAACTTTCTGGGTGTCTGGCTGGTGAGTCTTGCCCACATGCTCAGGGTTTAGCTGATCGCCATATTTGGGGTCAGGAAGGAATTTTCCTCCAGGGTAGATTGGCAGAGGCCCTGGAGGTTTTTCGCCTTCCTCTGTAGCATTGGGCACAGATCACAGCTGAAGGACTCTCTGCATGTTGGGGCCTTCAAAGTATTGGAAGGCTTCAATATCTGAGACATAGGTGAGAGGATTATTCTAAGAGGGGTGGGCGAGATTCTGTGGCCTGCACGGTGCAGGGGGTCAGACTAGATGATCATAATGGTCCCTTCTGACCTTAAAGTCTATGAGTCTATGAACTCTATCCCTGACAGAAGCCGAGGAGCTCTGGACCCGTTCTGACTCCAGTAGCTGGACAGCTCCAGCCCTGACCATAGAGCTCCAAGTGGCTGTGGTGCCCTGGCAGCAGTGGGGCCAACAGCTAGAGAGCCATAGAAGGCCAGGGCCGCATGGGCCATGAGAAGGCTATCTCCTGGTCTGGCCAATCCCCTTATGCGGGGCCAGACTGATCCCAAAGATGCCGGACAAGGGAGGTCCAACCTTTAGTTATAGGTAAAAGTTGTTATAATAATCTAAACAGACCATATAACTAAAGGTTGGACCTCCCTTGTCTGGCATCCGTTTCAGTCCCCACTCCTGCCATATCCCTGTCATCCCCTGTCCCCCATGGAGATGGTGCTGGGGGGGACTGGCTTTTAAGCCTGCTGCCTCCTCTTACTGCCTCTCTGATAGAGGCAGCAAGGAGGGAAGTGATTAGTCAAGTTCCTACTCGATTACCCAATAAGCATAGGAGAAATTAGGTTCTGTGGAATCCTGGCTGGGCCAGCAGCATGTAGGCAGGAGAACCTCGGTGTTAGTGTGGTCAGGTGGCATCAGGGAGCTTCTGCCCCAGCCAGGGAACCCCGTGGAACTCCATGAAACCCGCAGTGTGCCTGGGGTGCCGCAGCCTGGCGCTGGAGAATCCTGAGGAATCCTAGAAGCAGTTGGGCTGGCAGTGGCCAGGCAGCCCGGGCTGGGGAACCCCCAGGAACCCCGAGCACAGTGGGCAGGCAGTAGGGTGGGAAGCCTCAGCCGGGTCAGCTTTAGTGGGGCCGTAGCAGGGTGGGGAACCCCAGAAAGACAAGCTGGCAGCAAGACAGCCAGCCGAGGAGCACTGACCTCCCCTGCTCTGGTAAACTCTGGTCCAGGAAGCTCAGGTCCCCAGGGTGCCGGATCAGGAAGGTCAAACCTGTATATAGATTGAGAGCTTCCAGGGAAAAGATGGAGAAGACTAACTTAGAGTTTAGCATTTGAGGTGGCTTCTGCTTAAGCCATGTATATGATTCAAACAATTTACAGCGATCAGGAGTGGATCATATAGACTTCCAAGGCTTTGCAGTGTATCTTCCAATGGGTTGTAGCTGAAGAGGTGACAAATCAATGTGTTACAGCTGTTAGACATTAATTACCAAAATATCAGAAGGGATCATAGCCAGCAAAAAGGTTTAATTTCACCACCCACTGAGCTGAAGACCATCCTTCTTTATTCAGTTAAATGTTTATTATACTGTAAACCCTGAGGTACAGGATCATTGTCTTACTGCCGATAAAGCACCTATAATATTGGTGCACTAATAAATAGTTTACAACATTTGAAACAATAAGCTTTTTCTTGGGATTCTAAGAAACTTGAGCTCATAGCTTCCTGGTTTCATTAGAAGAGCTATTCTACTCTTTAGCCCTGTATTCTTCCTGGGTCTGTTGGGCAGTGCTGTTCTCAGGTCAGCAGAGAAAGAAGGAAGTTTGCCATTTATTTTATGGGATGTTGGTGAAGTAACTTTAATAAAATGCACTAACTTTTCAACAGTCATATACTACTTTATTTCAAAATCATTAACTCTAAAGTGTCTGCTGTTCTTTTTAACTCAGTTTGATAGTTCATTACATTTATTTTGCTGGCACAGTGGCTGGCTATTCATGTAGATAAAACCAGCAGGAAGTTTGGCATTTCAGAATCATCCTTTCCTGCATCAGTGTACAGTTCAAAGCAGCATATGGTATCTAGAGTAAGATTTGACTTGTAGAAAGAAGCTAACCATAAATCAACAAAGAAATGGAGTGGCAGGAGCACACTGAATGCATATGCTGATTGCAGCTTAACACTGTTAATATCATTCTCCAAAATGGAAAAATAATCACAACCATGGAAGTATTTAAAATGTTATTTGCAGGATCC